TCACAATAATAATAGAGATATTCACAATTTAGCGATACAAGTCTATAGTAGAATGCAACATAATTTAATCAAATAATATTAATTAATGATAAGCAACAACCTTTAAAGGAATCCCATATCGAACCAATTTCCAATTTAAACTCAAATAACAATGAAGACTCGTTTACAAGGTTATCGTACTTACTTTTCGAAGGGTGAAACTACCTCGAAAGACTCACAGTCAACCGAGGAGTCAAACTATCCAAACTTGGTTAACAGGGGCTGCAAGGCCCACAACCTCCATTTTACGATCCGAAAGTTTCTAAGGGTTCCACAAGGTCTAGGATATATGTCCAGCAAGTTTGGTCCCAATCGAACGGTTGGATCGCTCGCGATCGCACGATTGGAGGGTTATTGTAAAACACCAACTTCAAGTTATTAAATCGGAACATCCGGGCTCCGATTTACGATCCGTGAATTCCTACACGATCATAGGGATATCTAGTTTAACATATATTAAATTCAAGATGATCCAACGGTTCAAACCTATCGAACCCGGATAACGCACAATAGGAGAAATCCGTTTGGGGTTCAAACGTCAACCAAATTGGAATCCGAAAGTACCTACACTCTCGTGAGGACTAAGAGATCACATCGGGATACAATGCCCTGTTTTTACAGTGCCCATGCGCCGCCAAACGCGCCGGCAGCGCGTGGGCGTCCAAAGCGATTACGCTTCGCCGAAAAAACTCAAAATCATGGCTCAAGACTCCTACCCTAGGTGTAACACCCTATTTGGAGTCGCTTTTGTTCTTGGGCCTACCCCAAAAAGTGACCGGAAGTGGCCGAAATCGCGATCCCGAAATTGGCTGAAATCCAATTTGAAAATCCAACTCCCTAGACTCAAAATTGATGAAATCCTACCCAACCATTAGCTAGATCATGAAGAAGGGATGAATTTCCATACCTTGATCACCAAAAATAGTGGCCAGAGGAGAGAGATCTGAGCCGGTGAAATTTCGAGCGAAACCGGCCTAAAAACCACATTGTCCGACGACTAGAGCGGCGGCCGATGTTGGGGAAGGGTCGGGTCATAATGTCGGGGCTGAGCCGGTCCTTTTGGCACCGGTCCCTTCCGTGGCCGTGACAGGTGGTCGGAGTTTCGAAGAGAGAGTGGGGGCTGTCGTCGGGGAGAGAGAGAGAGAGAGAGAGAGAGAGAGAGAGAGAGAGAGAGAGAGAGAAATCAGATTTTATCAAACTCTTTTCGCCAAAATTTCGGTTATGCCACTGAGGGTATTTTGATCGTATCTTTTTCGTTACAACTCCAATTTGTGCCCACTATGTGTCTACGGACTCATCTCGCCGTGCTCTACCCAATGGTTCAGTTGATATTCCCAAATTCCTTCCTGGTCAAAAAGTCAACTTTAATAAACCTAATAAAATATTCTAGGGGCGAAATGGTCTTTTATCTGAATAAATTAATAATTAATAACTTATTTAGGACCGGGTCGTTACAATGCATCTGTGGGGAGAGGCAATCAAAACAGCAAACTACATACTTAATAGAATGCCCAACAAGTCCGTGGCTAAGTCGTTGTTCGAAATTTGGACCACCAAAAAGCCTAGCTTATGACATCTTCATGTATGGAGTTGCAACGCTGAAGCTAGAATCTATAACCCTCAAGAGAAGAAACTTGATCCTAAAATGATTAGCTGCTATTTTATTGGTTATCCTGCAAGGTCAAAGGATTTTTAATTCAATTGTCCAAATTATGGTACCTGAATTGTTGAGACTAGTTGTGCCAAGTTTATAAAGCATGAGAAGAATGCTATTGGGAATGAAGATTTTATTTTTGAAGAAGAAGGGAATATAGCTGTGATTGAGACTGATGAACAAGAAGTTACAACCTTGATTCCTTTAAGTGAAACTGTATTGGAACCTCCTCAGTTTGAAGAACCAGTTGATAAATAACAACAAGAACAAGCTGTCGAAAATCCTGAGCCAAATAATCAACAAAAACCAATGCAACCGAGGAGATTTGACAAACCAAGAAAATCTACAGCAAAATCAGATTATGTGTATTTACAGGAAGCAGATTTTGACATTGGAGATGGAGCTGATCCAATGAGTTTTAAAAAAGTTACGGAGAGTCAAAATATAGACACATGGAGGAAAGCAATGTTAAATGAAATCGAAAGCATAAAGAATAATCAAGTATGAGAATTAGTTGAACCTTACAAGAGCCAGAAATTGGTAGGCTCGAAATGGGTGTTTAAAACAAAGAAGGATAAGGATGGAAAAATGGAAAGATTTAAGGCTACATTGGTAACAAAAGGATTCACCTAAAGGGAGGGAATTGACTATACTGAGACGTTTTCTCCAGTTTCCATCAAAGATTCTTTCCACATAATTATGGCATTGGTGGTGCATTATGACTTGCTTTTACATCAAATGGATGTGAAAACTGCCTTCCTAAATGGTGAACTTGAAGAAGCAAGTGTGGCAACCTGAAGGGTTTGCAAAGGAGGGGAAACAACATATGGTTTGCAAACTTTAACTAGGTGATTTATGATCTAAAGCAAGCAAGCAGGATATGATATTTAAAATTCCATCAAACTGTCTCATCCTATGGTTTTGAAGAGAACCTAGCCGATCAATGCATTTATTTGAAGAAGTGTGGAAGTCATTTTATTTTTCTAGCATTGTATGTCGATGATATACTTTTGGCTACAAATGATCACAATTTATTGAAGGACATTAAGGAGCTACTTTCAAACAATTTTGAGATGAAGGATTTCAGAGAAGCTACTTTTGTGTTAGGCATTAATTAGCTAAGGGAGATTTGAAGAAGAAGCACTGCCCCAAGAATAAAGAAGAAGAAGCTGAGTTGAGGAACAAGCCGTATGCTTCTCTAATTAGAAGCATTATGTACTCACAAGTATGTGCAAGGCTAGACATAGCCTTGTGCATCCGCAAAATGTGAAAATTTCAATCAAATCCGGGAATGCAACATTGGATAGCTGGAAAGAAGATTCTCGGATACTTATTGAGAACAAAGGTTTACATATTGATTTACGAACGCACAGAGAATTTAGAGCTTGTTGATTATGTTGATGCGAATCATGGAAAAGTAGAGGATGATTACATCTCTACTTCAAGTTTTCTTTTCAAGACGTATCAGCTCAGCACAAAAAATATGAGAGAAAGTGAATTGGATAAGTATCAGAGTTATAGCTGCTCACGTCTTGTATACCGTTTAGCAGAGCAATTCAAATTCGCCAGCAATTGATACATATTTTGGCATTCGTCATGCACAACATACATACAAACACAAGGTGGATAAGTTCATTTCAAAGAACGTCACAAGTTTGTCACTAGGCATACATCAATCCAGAAAGATCAAGCTCTTTCTGCTACTTGGCAGTGGCACAGACAGACAAACCGACCTCTGTCTCAAAGCACACCGATCTCTCTCTCTCTCTGTAACACGCATGCAGTTCATGTTGAGAGTATTTGTCCGACATGGGAAATGAAAGCCTTTTGCCTTAGTTGTTTATAGCGTCGCGGATTTCTCCACCCATTACCAATTGATTTCGATCCATTTCGGAAAAGTGAGAAGATTACATTAATTAAGTACATTTTACATGAACCCAAGTTGCAGAACTCATAAACAAAATTATAATAATAAAAGTAGAACCTACCTTTGACAATATTAAAAAGGGTTTATTGCCTACATACATGAGATTTTGAAAATTTATATACTCCTACACAAAAAGACCAGAAAATAGCATGCAGACTTAAAAGAAAACGGCTGAGGAGGACAACAACAGCATCATAACTGAAAGGAAGATTGGCAAAGCAGATGAAGCTGCACCTGCATGGGTGCCATCAGGGTAAGGCACAAATCCTCCTGAGGCACCTGGAGGAGAGAGATATTGAGGGTACTGGCAGCACTGAGCAGGCTGAGTTGGGGGGCATTTTCCTTGACCATGCTGTTGAGGCGGCGGCGGCGGGTAGCTAGGAATTGATGGTGGGGGTGGTGGTCCTGGTGGAGGAGGGCCATATAAAGGGTACCCTGGATTTGGAATGGAAGGAGGGCACTGACATGTAGGGCAATTGGCACAATCTGTGGGAGAAAATATGGCATCTCTAGTAATCTCCCCAGTGAAAACAAGGTTGAAGAAGACAGAGAAACAGAATGCTGTGACAAAAAAAAGTTTTGCAGGAAACATTGCTTCCTCCTCTATCCTCTGGCTAGGAAGAAAAGTTGAAAAGAAATATAGGAAGGAAAGATGGGAAATGAATTATGAGTGAGGAAGCTATATTGGATTAATTCATTTTGTAGAATTCCAACTGTGGGTTTCTGAATCCCGGATTTGGTGCCGCATGGCAGACCATTTGTCATAACAATGTACAGGTAGCATACAAGCTTTTTTTTTTTTTTTTTGGTTTGAACCACGAGGTGGTCCTGGATGGGCCCCAACTATGGGTGGCACCTTTAAGCCTTAACCACAACCCAGACTAATCCCCGCTCACACCGGGTCGGCCCGTAAGGGGTAAAGTGCTGGCCAAAGTGGTGACTCCATACGAGAGCAGGGATCGAATCCCTGACATTCTCTTAAGGAATGAGAGTGCCGAACCACTCACACCAACCACCTTGGTTGGTAGCATACAAGCTTTAACTTACATGCATGCTTCTACAACATATGGACAACTCGAAAAATAATAATAAATAAATGACCCATATCTTTTTCTTTTATGTTTTTGTTTTTGGAATGGGAGAGTCTAATAACAACAATCCACTCTAAGCTATTGATGTGTAGAAGCACGTTTGTGAGTTCAACATACCTTAAATTTGATGACAGTCGCTTCACATCAAATATTTTTTGTTTTAGTTTTTACCAATTAGGTCTGAATTAATTTAGTGGTTTTTTTTCCCTGTAATGTTAGAAGAGATCTCAAATTTGGTCCTTGTTTGTTCCCCATTGGTCACAAAAGCAAATGCTCTGTTCTCCCTTGAAATCACAAGTGATCAGTTATGACTCTATTCTTTATACTCTCGATCTATACTACTTACTACCAGTCCAACATTACAGAAAACACAGATAAATGGAGGGAATATAAATTGAAATAATAAAACATTGTAGGGTTACAGAAAAAAAATGATAAAAGCATCTAGGATGATTGATCAAGAGAACTTAGGCACTGCATCTCCTGCCCTATTCAAATATAAAAAACTCAACTTATCGTCAAAAACTGATGTTATATGCAGTGGAGAAAACCCAGCATAGTCTCTGTCTAATTTTGCCAAGCCCAGTTCAAGAATGTACTTGAAGAGCGCATGCGTTTGGGTGACTGGTTGAGCTGCATACTCCTCAAGTGGCATCCACTACATGAAATAAAACAATGCCATAAAATTTTAGTCAATTGGTGTATGCAATTGACTGAATTCTCATATTTGAAAGAATCTGAGTTTTGGCATGTCTTAAGAGAAGCAACGATTGCTTAAGTTCACAGAGAATTTTTTATTTTTTTATTGTTTGAAACATTATGATCTACCAAAATTAAATTTGAGCAGCATGTCAAACACATTATCAACCAAGAAGTACCTTGGCTGCCTCAATCTCCAGTTCTTGCTTTTCGATGTCAAAGGTTTGAGGATGCAGCATACACACAAAAGATAGATCTGACTTCTCAAAGAATGACTTGTGTGATTGCCTGAAGGTAACACGAAACCATGACTATTTCACAATATTATGTTTATATATTATACTATATATAAAGAAGAAGAAAAGAAAAGATTTGAAGTTCCACAAATTTGGTATTTATGAGAAGCAAAGCCTTTGATGGACCCCAAAAGCAGTAAAAGAAACACCAACAAATTACATGATTGATTCCAGTCTCTTGCACAGTACTCTAGTAGGATTTATGCTCATCGGAGATAGAATTGGAGCTGGACCAGATTAGAGAAAGAACCATTGGCTTAATCTTAAGCCCGCTTTTGATTCAGTCAGAATTGAGTATCTCCTATTTTTTCTAACTGCAGAACTATTTCCATTTTATCATTTTCTAGGAAAGCACAATATAAAAAGAGTTTAGCATCTAGATGACCCAAATGACAAAAGAACTTTGTATGAGGTTGGTTTTCCTAAGAGTGAACCAGTAATTACGCAATCTTCAAGGTGACCCCTCTTTCAGTGACATCCTTGAAATATAATTTAGATAGCCAAAGATACCAGGAGAACTTGGGTCGATTTTCTTATCCCGTTTTGGAGACTTTTCTGACATGTATAACTTAGTTTTTCCCACTCCAATCAAATTCGATATAATATAACAATTCCATCAAAACATACAGTGATTCAAGACTGTGCAAACTTGTACCTGAAGGCTAATACCTCCAAAAATTCTGCATCAATCTGAAGCAGTTAAAACCAGTGGTCTTCATCACACCAAAATATTGGTAACATAAACTACAAGGTATGAAAGGAACAATATATATATTGATAGACATTGAGAACTTACCCCTGTCTCTTCTTTAACTTCTCTTACAGCTGCCTTAAAAATATCCTCGCCCTATATTGAAGAGCTCATTTAATGTCCAAAAGTAACAAGCATCATAGTTTTGAATAATTAAAAAACTTCTTAGTCCAGGACCTTAAGGTAAATACCTCGTCAACAACTCCAGTTGGGATTTTCCACACACCTGTTCCTTGGAACCTGCCACTCTTCTCCTGGACTACAAGCATCTACACAGAAGAAATCTAATTTCAAAACCAACAACAGATGACGACAAGGTTGACAAACTGAAGACAAAAGATAAGACTACTGTATCAGAAACACAGAAGAACAAGGGTGATGAACAAGGCTGAATTAGAAGACCAGTAAATGCATCCAGATGTGTTATTACACGATTCTCTTGTACTACCTTTGTCCAATGGATAAGCAATAGTAGACAACAATAGTGCCAGCAGCTACTCAGTGTTTTACATTTATCCAAAACAATTAAGCAATGGTAGATAAGAGCAAGTACCTCTTTTTTATCATTCACAACAATAGCCCCAACACTTACTCGGTGTGAAGCATTTGCAGGTAGAGTATTAGTAGTTTCAGGAATCCAATAAACAAGCATGAGGTAGTGTGGCTCAGCATGATGATATCGAAACCCCTCCTGGCATCAACATAATAGGTGTAAGCCAAGACAACAGATTTATCAAGATTAATGGGCAGAACATGACATAAAGCTGTCATCAAATCATAACTGCACTGTACCTTAACTGCCTGATTTTTTATTTATTAAAAAAAAGAAGATGAAAGAAAAATAAATAAAACAAATTTTTATGTTGAAATTTAGTTTCTTTAAGTTAAAACCTATTGTGCCAGAAGCTATGTAGAGTATTAGCTCGTTGCCTTATTTTTCATTGTACATATACGTATTTATGAGAGCTATGCAGAGTATGAGTTCAAAGACCTCCAGGTTCTATGTAAGCACATAGCTCATATTTTATTTTTCTATCAAGACAGTCACGTTCCCATTTAAAATGCAACTCACAACTAAGAACAACCTTGTGGGTTGATATTACTAAAATGTCCATGGAGACAGTTCCGGTGCAAATGTATTAGTACTGCAGAGTAATTACCTTAACTGCTGTTTCGACAAGATTTACAAGCTCAATGGGCAGTTTTATCCACACACCCTTCTTCCCCTGAATATGAAAATTATTGAATAGAAGGAAGAAACAATCAGAATATCCACCAAGAAAAAGATAAACCATGTTGCCAAATTCATTAATCACACACATACACAAACATAAATACATGCATACATATTAGTAGATTTACGTATATGTCAAACGGCTGGCATGCTGAATTATTAGATAAAGATCATACCATATGATGGTACATTGTAAACAAAGAAAGATTTTACCTACTACCACGTACCTCAACTTCGTATCTCAGTTACACTACTAAATATTAATCAACCACGACAGAATTCTCGACAGATGACTTGGGTTCAAGTCGACACCTAAGGATTTATTAAAAGTTGGTTTCAAACCAATGTCAAATTTTGAGACTGAGCAGTTTCTCCAAAACTGAAAGCCATTTTTCAACAGTAACCATGAATATCATTTGGAATCCTCTCAAACGAAAGATGGTAAGTAAGAATAGAACTGAAATGAGTACACAGTCATTATATAAAAGTGATGTATAAACCATGGTTATTATCTTATTGAAATGGATCAAAGTACAGCATATTCTGACACACTGCGTGATGCAGAACGGAGAGAGAGAGAGAGAGAGAGAGAGAGAGAGAGAGAGAGAGAGAGAGAGAGAGAGAGACAGACACAGAGAGAGAGAAGAAGAAAGAAAAAAAAAACGTTCTCCATTACTCTCACCTGATTTTAAGAAAATCAATCTCAAATTTTGTAATATCACAGTACTCATTTGCAACTTTGGAGCTTCGACCAGTTTTTTTCATCTAGCGCCGGAAATAGCAACTAGCAAGATCAACAGATGAATCCTTTTCAGCCATACAAGTGGATTGACCAGGAAACATAAAATCAATAGTTATAACCATTTCCTTGACAGGCTCATTAAATGGCATGACTCCTACCTTAGTGTTTTCCATGTTTTGTGAGCTTCATAGTCTCCCTTGCCTTGCTTGATGTCTACATCATATAATTCTTGTTCCAAAAGTTTCATGTTATCCTTGACTATTGCAATCCACAACCTCTAATTTTTTTCATACTTTTCTTTATGCTCTTCATGATGATGCAGAATGAGAGGAGAAGAATTTTACTCTACAACCTTTCCTTTAATATCCTTAAAATATTGATTAAAGACTCCATCAAAGGTTTGGCCAAGGGTGTGACAGAGCTGAGTAACAGTTTCAAGGCCAATGTTACCAGATTGAGAAAATCTTCCTTTTCTTTCTCAAGATAAACTGAAATTTGTAAACTTGTTATAAAATTGGATGCCCATCATAAATATGTCCCTGCAAAATAGTTGTAGCTGAAACAAGACTCTGATATGATTGATACTCGATTGCAACTTGGTATTACTTCAAAAACGTGTCAATCCCAGCACACATCCATAAAGCGAGAATAGTTTCTTTCTTGTATAGGAATAAAGGCAGCATGCTTGACACTTCACATCAACCTACCAGGGTATACACTGTGATGAACTGTGACCAGAGCAGTTAGATTTAGCCTACCTTCAATCAGTGAATTCAAATCCCTAATTATGATTTCTATCATCAGCTCGGCAACTAAAAACCAATAATACTTCAACGACACGCATCACTTAGATGTATACTAGATTGAAAAAAATAAAGCAATCAAACTATTAAACGAAAATTGTCTAATGAACAAGTTGACATCGAATAAAATATATAATAGATAATAGCACCTCTCTCCTCCATTGTGAGATTGAAGCCCTAAGCAGAGTAAGAAAGTGCTGAGCGTCCATAGCATCCTTCATGTCTACAATAACTCCTCCATGGACATCATTGGTTGCAGGAAGTAGTTCAACATGCTGGATTCCATTTTCACAAACCCGGTCCGATGAATTTACGGAAATTGACATCGTTCCAACCAAAAAAGAAGTCAGAAGCCCAAAAATACCTGAAAGAAAACACCCAAAGAGAAAAGGAAAAGATAAAACTGAGTTACACCTCAAATATGCATCTTTTTCTCAGCAAACCGGATTTCCTAACCAAATGAGAATAAAATTACAGCCCCAATTGACAAAATGGTAGTGATTATTCATGAAATCACTATGGTTGGCAGCTATACTTCACTCGTTAAAATCCAAATTCTTTTGTAACATTCATACAAATCCATTATCATTTTCTTAGAATATCACATTGCACACAGATAATAAAACAGTGGATAGGTCAAAACCATTCAAGTGCAACAATAAGAACCATTATTACAAATTCTATCAATTCCATCAAACAGAGAAAAAAAATAAAAAACTTCAAAATCACATTTCAGAGAAGAACAACAACAGATACAAGAAGCTTGAAATATTATTATTGACACAAGCAAATATATAGAAAAAGTATAAAAGATGAACCTGAAGTGAGCACCAAAACAGACCCTAAGACAGATTTGAATTCGTGAAGAAATGCTGCGAGTTCTACAAGTCTATGATTTTTCACTCTGTTCAGCTCCACTATCCAACGGTCCAGTTTTCCAAGTGCGGGCCTTTGGATATTTATAATTGTAAGGTTGGGGATGGGGAAAAACAACTACGGCGAAGTGGGGGGTGACGTAGTTCCACCCATTTGCATACCAATAGGATCGCTGATTGCGTCATCAGGGTCTCTTCGGCTTGCGTGGAGGAATATTAGTGGGGGGGACCGCCATTAGTGACAGAGTGCAGGCGGAGAAACGTACTGCTTTTTGCTGTTCAAAGTTGGGTCTTACCCAACTTATGAGTGCTTTTATTAGAAAGTATGTTATCTTTATCAAAAGTTCAACCCGTTTTTATAAGGAGCACTCGTTTGAGAGTGATTTTATATAGACTAATAATTATTTATTTATATAATTATTTTTAAATAATTTTATGAAGAAGCACATAAGAGTACGTGGGAGGTGTTTCTTCTCATAATTGCTTAAAATCACTTAAAGTTAGGGTTCGTCAATGGGCCGGGCCGGACTAGCCCGGCCCAAATTCAATGGGCCGGGCCGGACTAGCCCGGCCCAAATTCAATGGGCTTGGGCCGGGTCGGGCCGGGCTTTAAAGAGAAGAGAGAAAATATCGGGCCGGGCTAGGTTTTTTTAGAAAATTCAAAGCCCAAACCCGACCCATGACCAGGGCTTGAAAAAGCCCATCGGGCCGGGACTAAACGGGCCTACTTCATTAAAAAAAAATCATAAACTTAATCATAAGGGCATTTTAGTCCAAATTTGAGATTAAACTCACTTAATTCCAATATTTTCACATCAAACCAAATTCATAAAACACCCAATAAAGT